GTCGAAACGTGTTGTTGACCAAGTATGTCGGGGTATCCTCCAGGAGAGCCATGATCGTAATGCAAAGTGGTGCTCAAGGCCACAATGATTGCCCTTCGCGCGAGGGCGTTGTTTGCCGTTCCAAGACCAGGAACGCCGAACCCATGTAGTGTAGAACCGCCGTGTCATGACAAATGCCAGAGAGTGGTGATGCTGACCCGGAGCGCGCCGGCTCGGTCAGTGAAGTCATGACACGGTATCCTTGGTTCAGCCAACCCAGCCAACCAGTCCGAATCCAATGAAAATTAGGAGACATGCTTTCTCATCAGTCAGACAGACCGATCGCACAGCGCAGTCCTTCCATCCCCTAACGCCGTGCTATGCAAAAAAAAGGTATTATACAGAACCCAGACGCAACAGAGCCTCAACCGCCTCACGCTCCTGCGCGTCAGACGGGCCCTGAAGCGCCGTGAAGTCGAAGGGCATGGGCTGGAGCGAGCGTGCCATACCAGTAGAGACGGTTCGCATCCCTCCCGAGTTATATACACCGGTGGAGAGGAAGCTGCGTCCGGCAGACTGTGCGGTTGCGCCAGCTGTGTTGTAGGACTCGGCGCGCAGAGCAGCAGCTCCAACGGCAGCCCAGTCCTCGTCGTCGGTGGCATCCTCGGGGTCATCATTCATAGCGATATCGTCGTCATCCGGAGCCTCGGAGCACGAGGCGGAGGCCGAGCCGTCCAGGGACATCTTATCCGCTTCGCATTCCATCATCATTGCATCGCGGTCGTCGTGAGAGAAGACAATGGAATCGCCAGCGCTGGACGAGGCGACGTTCAGGCGAGACCTGTCGGCGCCGCGTCCACCGGTCTTGTTGATGGGAATGCCAGATCGGTAGTCAGTGGGGGGTGTAGTTCCGCGTGCGGCCTGACCACGTCGTCGGGCATCCCAACGACCCCAGCCCACCTTTTCAAATTCCACATCGCCGTCCGGTCCGCCACCCTCGCCTCCGCGACCCTCCAAGGCTCCAACAACCAGGCGGCGCGCCTTTGTCGGCGGGATTCCTGCGAAGCCCGGGACAGACGTTGTCAGGTAGCCCATGATGTGACGGATAGCCAGAGGGCCGTGGTTGAGGAGGATCTCAGGAAGGTGGTGCTTGGCCAGCAGGGTGGTGCTGATAGCACCAGTGGCATCGTAGGAGGGTGACCGCGATGCTTGCCTGCGACCAGTCGGGTCGTCGTGCAGGTCGAGGTCCGAGTCGATGGGCTCGAGCCTGACCTTCTGAAGCTGGGCCTTGAGGCCGTGAGGCGGAAGGGCGGGAGAGATGGAGTTGGGAGGAGTGGGGAGGGGGTGAGATCGTGTCACAGTCGTCGCAGGAACACTCCGAGCCGCTACAACAGTCAAGTTGTCTCGGCTCATGTTGGAGGCCTGGTGGATATCGCAAGCAGCAGCTGCCATGGTCGCCATGATGTCGTTTAGACGTGTCTTATGCTTCTAGACGTGTCTGCACGCGATAGCGATGGTTAGCTACTGGTGTTGAGTAGAGAAGTGGTGGTGTTGAGTCACCAAGGTGGGAGAAGGAGGAGGAGGAGGAGGATGTGACGCAGTGCTGTGCTGTGCTGTGCGATAGGATAGGGTTTACTGTTGACGTACTGCTAGAAGCGGAAGGGATGCGATGCAGGTGTGGAACTGTGCAGGTACACTCAGTTCGACGGGTCGACTAATAGACTTGTTGGCAGATCAGGCTGGCGTTGCTGTGGCTGTTGCGATTATCGTGACTGTGACAAGAGAATCTCGTCAGTATTGGGTTGTGGTTCTTCGTGATGTTGTATTTGCGTTGAAGAAGAGAAGAGAGGGAAAGGAAAGGGAGGGTGAGATGAGTGCGACGGCCAGGGCTAAAGTAAAAGGGACCGTGGTGGTGGACGGATACGGAGATGGGATGGGATGGATGGGAGTGACAGACAGACTCATACCTGACTGTTGAATGACTGAGAGCGACACACACCAGACATACGCGGTACCTCCATCTTGGTGTCGGCTCTCTCTCTCACCTTGTTCCTCTTTGCTGCAAGTGTGTGTGTGTGTGTTGTGTGTGGGAGAAAGGGAGGTACATGGGGTACATTGCAAGACCTGGGGCATGTCAAGAGACGGCGACCGGGGGGCAGGAGGTACCCACGGTACCGGACGGATGCAACCCAGGATTCAAGGTATCCGCAGTAAACTGAGGTACACCCATGTACCTCGCTCTCTCCTCTGCTTCCTCGGTATCTACTCCGTACCTCTCATGCTGGTGACTCCTCCACGCTCTCTGTGGCGGGCCAGTCTCTTTTGGTACAAGGCAAGGGCCCCAGAGAGCCAGTCCAAAGGGAGAGGAGAAGGAGAATGACTGGCAGTCAGGCAGAGAGAGAGAGAGAGAGAGAAATAGATACGTCAACTGTACCGCCATTTTGATGCAGTGCAGCTTGGCTTTGGGCACAAGCCCGGGTTCTTTCTCCAGCAACACGCAGCCAACGTGACGCCCGTACCAAACTCAACCGCCTGCAGAAGACAAAGGCCCGCGGCGGGCGAAGGCAAGGGAAGGCGATGGATGGATGGCCGGATCATGGATGGATGAGCACCAAAGAGCAAGACCAAGGCAAAAAGGCAAGACAAGGCCCGACAACGCAACGACTACAGCGACAACAGGAAAGGAGCAAAGAGACGGACGCCGCTGGCTGGCGTTGACGCAGGTGATGGATGGATGGACCATTGGGCGATGAGCAAGGACAACACCACTGGAATACACGCCCCGGGGGTGGCAAGTTGCGGCCACGGGGTGTCAAGTGTTGGTCACCAGGTGTTGACTGACGGTATCTGAGTGTGGATGGTGTGTGTGTGTGTGTCTGGAGGACGAGGTATGTGTGGCTGGGTCGCTGATACCATAAAAAGGAGTCCCCGGCTGCGAGAGGAGATGGGAAAACGGCAAGAAGAGACAGAGGGGGGTGTTGCTATCCTTCTACTTTCTCTCACACTCCCACCTTCACCTTGTCGCAGTCCGCAGAGGACTTCTCAGAGGTATTTGTACACAGTGTGCCACACACTACGTACACCTCGTACCTCATGCTTCCAAACCTGTGCTTCCGTCTCTTCCCTTCCCATTGATTCCAGTTCCGCTGGATCTGAGCCTGGGGAGGAGTCATCGCTCTTGCTGACGACAGGCAAGGCAGATGAGGAGTTGAAGAGACTACCTGCCCCGTCTTACGGGCACCTGCCTCGTCCGCCTTGACCTTATCATCAAGAGATCCTTATCAACCTTTGATCTGACATTCTTTCATGATCCTCACTACCACCTGGACGATCTGACCTTAAAGTCCAGCGCTGGGTAAGGGGAGAGAACTCTTAACTTCCCTCGACCCTAGGTATGACCTTTTAACCACCCAACGGATTGCTTTTCCTTTGATCAGAGTACATTTGCAGAAAGATACCCAATTTCAACGCCGGATACAGCTTCAACGCACACCGCACACAAGCCGCAAACTGGAACCCATCAAAAAGGAAAATACCCACTCATCGACAGCTCTAAACTCCATCCCAGACCTCCAAACAATCCACATGAACGGAGCTTGGGCGGGCTCCATCTCGTTGTCCCGTTCCTGTCCCCGAGCTTGACCGCCGAACCAGCCATCGATGCGAATACCTCGAGATACAGAGGTTCAAGCCTTCAAGGTCCAAGGTCCCATGCAATCCATATCCATGAATGATTTGAAGCGTCCGCGACACAGCAGTTCCACGACGGACCCAGAAGACACGTCCCCCCATGCGCCGGCGCCGCTCACTTTGGTCTTCTTTCTTCTCAAGTTCCCATACCCATGCCCCATGCCGAACCCGAAGCTACTGAAACGAAGTTCCCACCTCGTTGTCTTCCCCAGACTGCCGATAGGGTCGGCCGGTAAGTGTGATGATCCAAGGCCTGGGAAGAAAGGCCCCAGAGGCCCCAGAGGCCCCAGGGCCAAGGGTAGGGGAAGGGGGACAGCAACCCGTGGCCTTCCGGAATTGCAGTCAAGCCCGCGCACTTGATCCCCGGCCTAGCCCACAACGCGCTTCTCCATTCGGAGTCCATTCCAATAACCAACTGTTCGACCTTCAGCGTCCAGACCCTCTCTAGACAGGTCCATAATAAGCTTGATACAAGGATCGAGAAACGACGGTGAAAACGAAGAGACCCGATCATCGTGTCAAACGCCGCACTATCGAGAGATAATGCCAGGAGCCAAGAGTCAAGCAGACGAGGGATTGCCAGTTACAAGTTGCAACAAACTCCCAGCGTAAGGCAAGCAGCAAAGTCACCAATTCCCTGCCAGCCTCAGGGCATCAATGTCGACGAAACGGACACACACAACGACACACACAAGTCATTGAGCTCTCGAAATTGCAACCTCTCACTGCTTCCACTCACCCATGAGCCAAGCCAAGGCCCAAGGGCTGCTTCTAGATGCGCATCAAACCCGCGTCGCCGGCGCCCGCGTCAACCACAACACCACCAAGCCCACCGCGCATAGTATATCCCAACCGGTGATCCCGTGCTATGGCACACTGGGCACGGTAAAATGGAAACCTTCGTCTCGGGTACAGCGTGCAAGCCCAAGAGCTTACCAATCTGTCGGGGATCTCGCTCGCTTGCTCTCTTCCTCGTCTGTCACTTCTGTCACAGTACCTTATTTCTGAGGTACGTTGTCAAAAGACTCAGCAATGAAACTTTGCTTTCAAGTTGTCCCTGTTTCCAGTTCCGTTTGTCCCGTCTTATTCCTATCCATCCCTATCCATGGCATCCAAGCCCCCCTTGGAGATCCACCATCGATAACACAAACTCCGACTCATGGTATTTGACTCTTTGCCCTTTCCTCTTCCCCCCTTCATTCACATACAACTAGGAGGTTGTGGTGATAGGGTTCGAAAACCCCAATCGCGATCTCTGCTCCCTCCCACATCGCACACACATTCTGACATATATCCATATCTCATTATCGTCAACCTTGGTCAACCTTTGATTCATTACCCGTCCCGTACCCGCTAATAAACCCACCCGCTTCCTTTGTCCGGATCCCGTGCCAATGCCATTGCCCCCTGTCAGAACCCCACATGTATCCGTACCCATGTCCCATCCATGTCTGAAGTCTTTCCCGCCAGCAAGCCGCTGGGAGACGCGACCACGGGACTGGTGTCCACTGAAGCAACTACAGCTTTGCAGGCAAGCACCAAAGCAATGCAAAGGTTGACTTGGTGGAGAGCTGTGGGAGTGTGCTTCTTCCTGCTGCTGCTAACGCTGTTTCTACTGCTGCTATCCCAGACGGAAACAGCAGAAACGGACGGACGGGGTTTGAGATGGATACCTCGGCGGCCGTCAAGTTTACGTTGCTGCTACTGATGCTGCGGGAGACTGGAGAATGCGACAGTGTCGTCATCAATCGCAAACCCGCAGCTTCGCTTTCTCAGTCCATTTCTTTCCTAGTGTGAGAACACTCTCAGCCCAGCAACCAGCAACGTGCGACCATACCAACACAGACCGGGGGCCTTGTCAAAACAACAAGGGGCCAGAGTGCTAGAGAGGGCCCTTCATCACCGCACAGAACACAGAGACACACACATTTTCATGTTGTGTTTTTTTGTCGCCATCATCCCCCTATTTTCGGACGTTGCAATTTTGATTTTGAGGAGGAAATTTCCAAAGCTTTCCAGCGCTTTGGTCAATCGCAGTGATCGAGATGGTTCGAAAAAGAAAGCCAGAAAAAACTCTTCCCTTTGGCGAAATTGACATTCCTCCTTACCCTGGAGCGCCTCTTATTCCCTTGACCTTAATAACCCCTTTTCCGGACGGCGCCGTGGAGATGGTGGAATGGAAGTCTTGATGGAATCTGAATAGAACCTGTCCCATGTCTCCATGCCTCTCTGGTAAGAGAAGGTGCAAGGGGCGTGTAAGTCAAACCGAACATTTGGCAACGCGCAATTTCGTGCAGATTTCCAGCAGCAGCAGCAGCCTGAGCAATGACAGGCTCGAAATGTCTGGTTCCTGTATTTCTTCATGCTTTCCCCCTAATAACTTCTGGGTGGTTACGAATGACCATGAGCATCCGTATGCCGGCGGGACGATCCAGACCGGAAATGTCTAAGACACGCGCTCACTCAACTTCCAAGAAAGGAACAAGACGAGGACTCGACCGTCATCGTCCATTTCTCCCATCTCGGCTTTTCCCTTGAACGAGATCGAGATAACGAAGCTAGTCTCAAGCAAACCCATTTCAGAACTAAGAAGACATACCGTTTATCACGGGCTACTTTCTTCCACAGAGAGGTCTTAGTCCGCCGACGCGACGACGTGTCCTCTTACACCAGGTTTAAAACCGTCGCGTTAGAGAGATGATCGACACTCCAGACCTGACTAAACCTGCGTCCCAAAGTCACAACCACGAGCTTCAGCTGAAAAATCCCCGGTTCAACACCTGCCCCCTGTATCATCGCATGATCGCACATCTTTCTTCACATTGCGATTCTTTTTCGAATATCGTACAGACATCTATTTTACTTTTGACCTCGCGCACTCCGCCATTCTGAGGAAACGGTGCCAAGACTACAATCATCAACCAGTGACCACGCACAGAGTCCACCAGCAATGGCTTCGTGACAGGTAAAGCAACTGCAAACCAGACCTGGACTCGTACCAATGGGGAGGGTGTGTCTCTATCAATCAGCTGCTCTCTCAAGTCTCGAGAGTGTGTGTAGCTGCTTTGTACCCCACGGTACAGCTGAAATCCATCCCATCCCGCGTCCAGTCTCTCTTTCGCCCTGCTCGCCTTGCCCTGTGGCTCTGGCTGACTCCACATCAAAGATACACAAAAAACCAACTTTTGCAATTTTGGACACTGTGGTGGTGGTGGTGGCAGGTGCAGCTCTCTTATCTGTAATCCGTTATCATTTTCCAGATTTGGTGGCCGTCAACCGCCGGGATGGAACATTGCGATGCGTGATGCCTGGGCTTATCTTTCAAGGCGCGCCTCACATTCTGGTCTGTTGATGAACATGAGCCCGACAGACCCGGCCGAACCGCGTTCGCGTCGGCTGAGGCGCCTATCCTATTCGTATAAGGATACCTTATTTGGGATCACTGAGAAGGTAATCCGTATCCGTATACTGGCACATCGCAGTGAATCCCCCCCCCCCTCATCCCATCTTCGCCCTCCCCCCTCCCCGGATTTTCCTTGGCCCCAATGACCTCAAGAAAAAGCCACCCGTGGTTCTAGGCTTCTACTGTTGGTAGGTAGAGGAGGTACCAGCTGCATCTTTGTCCGCTTTCCCGTGCCGGCGTACGCAGTACCTACGTACGCCTTGCCCTCTTTCGCGATGGGCGGCATGCTGACGACCTTCTTCAGCAATCGCCGCACCCTCTGTAGTATGTACTCGATCGAATCCGTCCATCTGCTTTGGCTTTTGCTTTCCGCCTTGACTTCTTGCAGGTGGCCAAAATCAAATCAATCGTATTTCATCTGGTCTGATTTCGATTCCCACGCCCCCTAATGGTCGCCCTATGCCCAGGAGCTGTGTGTGTCCAACCAAATACACAAGGTACAGAACATATCATACTTGCCATATAATGGCCTCAAACAATTCAAACCCTCTTTGCATCCTTCTCCATGCAAAGATGCAAAGGTGATGTGCTGATATGCCATGCGGCATGCATCCGGGCAACATTCCCGCACCACCGTAATCACTTCGTTGAGGGCGGATTCGGCGTTTCGGAAGGCCTCGCCCTCAACCTGCAGTCGGACGTACCGCATACGGGAGGGGGAGGAAGAGAAGGTGCCAAACCACATGTGGTGACATCCAAATGGAGACTATCGTGGGGTTCAACAGAATCTCGTAGTGTTGACCGGCATTCCGTACCTGGCTACGCTACCTTACTCCTCTCAGAGTAATACCTACGTAAATGTTCTGTGGCTGGCTGCATCAAGATTCGACTATAAGCCTGGAATGGGACAAGACTTTTCAAAAGTCAATGCCTCCTTTTCCCCGGAATTCGCGCAACTAAACTACCAAAACCAACTCTCTCTCGTTGCACGCCGACGAGCGCAGCCATCACGTTGCGCCCAGGCCATGATCTGATTGGTTCTGGAGCCCAGCTGCGAGAATAACTCACGCCCCTCCCGATGAACACTCTCTGGGGCCAACTCCTAACTTCCTAGAGAGAAAATGCGAGCGATCCAGAATGCAAGTCCCAAACATTTCAAACAAGAAATACCCGTTTCTAGATTTGTATACTTCACGGTACCTCTTGTCTCGTCGTTGTGGGCACTTGGATGTTTCTTGATCCGCTACTATACAACTCTACAACTATCCCGTACCTTACGCAGTATTTCACAATGAGGCAGTTACGTCAATGTTCGTCGTCGAATCAGGCTCCCCCATCGTGAGCCCGTGGTCTGTCACTCTCCATCCACTTACGAAACCCCACGTTGTGACATGCTGCATCGTCAAGGCTTCAGGCTCTAAGAAAGCCAAAGCCGCCCTCTTAGCCTTCCCAGGACGGGCTCTCCTTCCCCCCAAGACCAGCACCCCTCCCTCCCTCCCTCCTCCTCCCGATGGGCGATGTGCCCATCTTTTGTTCCTAATCCTCCCTCGGGAAGTTCTGTGGGGTTATTCAATCCCGCGTCGCCGCAACGTACACTACCTCCTCTCTTTTCGCGACCTCTCGGCTTTCATTGTTCAATGATCCCTGAGAAATCCTCCGCCTTTGGGCCGATTTCTGCCCGGGTTGCCCCCTCCTTTACGCGGGCGGCACACCCACCACTGCACCTTGCAGTAGCCGCCTCACCCCGCTTCTCGTCCAAGATATCACGGCGGGGTTCATCACACCCCTCCACGCTCCCTCGTCGCTGTGCCTTTCCCGACCTCTTCCGTTTTGCCTTGCTTTTAGTCCCGAACGACCGGTTGACTAAATGCGCCGGCGTGCGTGCTGGCCGACCTGACCTTAGCCGCCATGAAACGATGATGGAATTTGCAGAAATGTCGCGCAGCTTAGTCGGGGCTAACCAACGTGGAATAGCCAACGGCGCCGATTCTCGGAACGAGGTGGTCTTTCCAAACGCTCCAGTTGTCACACCCACGTTTGGATTCCTGTGGACACCATCGATAAGGAAACCTCGCCCCGTGGTCCTTGTTTGTGTGATGGAGCCATGCTACCGCGACGACGATGTTTGGGATTATCCCACTTCAATTTGATACTTTCGCGCCTCGCATACTACAAAGGTCTGAGCCCTTATCTGCCATCACGAACATCGAATGGCCGTGTGCTCACTCGCGAATCGACATGTATTCGCGACACGCCTAGTAAAGTCAGCGCGTGTAAGCGTCTTAGTGATGGAACCCTGACTTACTTCCTTGAGAACGTTGAGCCGTTCTTGAGAGTCCCGGAATACTTGTCGGTACTGGCCTAGACTTTCCCGTAGGACGGCCTCCTTGGTCATGCGCCCGTCGCAAATTGCCTTCATCTTGTTCTCCATCTCTTTCCGCAAGAATGGCTTGCCCAGACTAGTTTCGAATTCCATGCGATCGAATCCCGTGATGAGTGCCACACCGAGTTGGGTCGGGATGAAGACCTTGAGCGCTCTCCGTCCCGCCGACGACGCGCCGCGACCTCCTCTGCCACCGCGACCACCGCGATTGCCGCGGCCCCCTCGGCCGCCTCTAGCTGGCGGCGAAGGAGGTCTATCCCGGTCGTCATCATCGTCGTCACCATCTTGGCCACGTTGACCCCCGTCAGCTAGCTGGACGTATTCTCTGTCTTGAATTTTCTGGATATGCTCCGCCATCGTAGCATCTGTTCCGATCCCGTTGGCATCCATGAGAGCAATGAGGTCTGCTTCTGTGAGGTAGTTTGGCGGGCTTGTCTTGCCATCCGTCATCAAGGCTTCTGTTGGCTGAAATGTCTCTCCAGGCATGAATTTCGGTAGCTCTGCAGAGTCGTTCCACTTCTCGTAGACAAAGACGTCAAGGTAGTTGCGCTCTAGGACGACTAGTCCACGGGTATGGAAGGTCTCCTCGCCATAGAGTATCTCCACGTCGGTTGCCAGGCCCTTGGCATCTTCTGAGCAACAAGCGAGAAACCGTCGTACGACGTACTCGTATAACTGCTTCTCATCCGCACTTAGTACCGTGGGCGCCGCATACGTGACTGGATGAATGGGCGGATGAGCCTTATCATCATGTTTTCCCTCTCGCGGCTGACTGAAGCTCCCATCCAGAAGGCTTTGCGCATATTGACCCCATCGAGGATCAGGCGTCTGCTTCCTGCACAGTGCCTTGAGGTCCATGCCTTTATCGAAACGGTCTGTTTCGGTTCTAGGATAGCTGATGAACCCTTTATTGTAGAGACCCTCGGCGACTGTCATGGCTTGTTGACCACTCATCCGGAGGAGGCGAGTTGCTGCCTTTTGCAGCTCGACAGTGGTCAAAGGCAGAGGCTTCCATTTTCTGGTTGGCTTCTCCTGGACCTTTGTGACCTTGGCCTTTTTCGCGTTGAGGCAACGTTCGTAGAGAATAATAACAGACATCCGATCAAAGAGACGGTTTCGTGACCAGTTGAAGTTGACTTTCTTGCCCTCGCGAGAGTGCATAACCTTGACGCCCCAAAACGGTTCAGGGACGAAGTTTTGGACCCGGAAGTACCGATCTACGACGAATCCTAGAGTCGGGAATTGGCAAGAACCTGATACGTAATCAGCAGACGAATGGAAAAAAAAAAGTGCAAGCATACCATAGCTGATAGTCCGTTCCTGCAGCGCCCCTCCCAGGGGGCGAAGACTAATGGTCAGGAAACGCGTAAAGGCATACCCAATCCTAAGATCCAGCTCTATTCTCGCATCTACGGCGTCGACTTGCTTCTGGTCAAGGTCGGTGAGGCGTCGGGCAGCAGTGAGAATGTGCCTACAGACTATCAAAAGGGGATCATCGCATGCAACGAAAGGGGGCCAGGCTTACGCTCGTTCAATGTTGCTGAACGTGGCACGCTTGACGGTGATTCGGTTATTGCCTTTCTTAGCAGCATTGACAATTTCTTTTCCAATGTGCTCTCCCTCTCGATCACAATCAGTCCAGATGACGAGAAGTTGGCAGTACCGAGCTTGCCGCTCAATGTTCTCAGCAACGGTTTTCTTGTCCTACACATGCAGCTATCAGGATTCGGACGATCTAAATCGAGATGCAAAAGACGCACCTGAGGTACTACTGTCACTACTGGTGCACTAAACAGGCTCTCTGGTGGCGGATGCGACCAGTTTTTGTTCTCTGGTGTGAACTCGAGTCCCGTAAGATGGCCCAGAACGGCCGTCATGGTGACACCACACGAACCCCATGGGGCACCAAAGTCAAAGTCGAAGCCATAGTTCTTGATGTATTGAGAACGTGTATTGTGCTGAGAAATGTCAGCTTCCGGAAACAAAGTGTGCTTTTGCTTCGTGCGATACTCACGACTTCAGGGCTTCGTCCTGCCAAATGGCCAGCAACGGCTTTCGAAATGGACGGTTTCTCAGCAACGCAGAGGACCTTCATCTTCTCGACGTGTAAGAAAGACTGGCGCTCACTGCATGCAGATGGTTTGGGGCCCGGTAGGTCTTTAATGCCCGGCACTTTCCGCGAGTGCAGTCACGAATGTTATTGCTGGGAGAGCAGGAGCATCTTGCGATATCTACGTTCCTGCCTTGGAGACGCGTCTTCACGGGCTTGAGCGCGTCAAACCCTCATACGGCAGCTTTTTAGTATCTCCAGCATGTGCTGAGTAAATCAGCGTATGCGATTGCGAAGAAGTCACAGCGGCTCTACCCAACTTTGACATCAGACATCGACACGTTGAAGATTTTGAAGTGCAGGTCGTTGAATTGAAGGTTGAGACCATCTCTCCTCGCTAAGGTACCTATGCCTGGTTCAACCCCACAGCGGGGCTGCCACGCTGATTCGCGCCGTGCTTCCAGGCTTCAGCTCTGGGACCCCTGGACCCCTTGGCGATTTTGAGGTGGCAGCGATTATCTAAGCAGCGGCACTTCGACTCCGGATGCTGGAAATCCCTAGGCACTTGAATTGCTGCACGTAAATACACGGCTATGAATTACCTTGTTTGGAGTGAAAAGAAAACGAAAAGGGAAAAAAAGTTGTAAAAAAAAGTTCGGCTCGAACCCGCGACCTCCCTCGATCTCGAGGTTCAGCTAGGTAGGAACCTCGGGTGACCGCATCAGGATCCTTCCTACGAGTTGCATCGCCTCGTCACCAAGATTGCTAGTGATCAAAATGATAAAAAGGGAAGCTGCCCGCTATGGCGTCACATCTGGTACTGCTTGCCACTCAAGGCTGCCCATCTCGGCACTCTAAGGATAGAGTGTTAAAGGCACAATCATACCGTTCGGCCGTCGTCTACAACAGACGATGCTTCCTTGGAGGAACTGGTGCAATTCTGGGCCCTATGAGGGTTGGGTCGTTGCCCCATACGAATATACACATCGCGAATATACCGGAGTTCCTATCTACCTGAATACTCGAATACCTAATGATATACATTGAGCTTGTCGAGATGGTGGCCACCACCTCACATGCAAGACTAAACTGACGTAAGCCACCGGTCCGACTCTACATCTCAACGACAGAGATTCACAGATTGATCGACGCTATTGCACAGATATGAGATCTTACCGTCAGGTGTACTTATTCCCACTGCAAGGTTACATTGCCCTTACTTAGGTAGTACTTGTTCGCAAAAAATAAACACTGTAGGCAGCGGTTTTCCATCAGTGAATCTCTATGTTCCGCAAAGGACGGATCTTCGGTCTCAAAATGGCCGAAGACCCCTGCACCGCCCCGGAGCTGGCGGCGGGGACCTAAGCTCCCTGCGGATCTATGACGCGCTTTGTTTGCATCACCTCACAGTTGCTTCTATTTGCACCACCAAAGCTGTATCGTCTATAACGACATTCCTCGAGACAACCTTTTCGCTGGCCATCCGCAGATCTCAAACGTCTGGGAGTGAAAAACCACTTTCAACAGAATCCAAGCTAGGTCCAGCACACTCACCCGCTTCGCAATGGCGCTCCCTGCAGTCAAGTCTCTAGAGGAGTGCTCCGAGTGGGCCAAGGTCGTCGAACCCTTCATCCCCCAGCTCCTTGAGCTCCCCGGCAAGATCATCGCGAGCCCGCAGTCGCTGCCCCAGATTTACCTCGAGACGAACCCCCTCGTCTCCGGCTTCGCTTTTTCCCTGCTCATCGCCGTCCTCACTCTCGGCGTGTCAGAGTACCATCGCAACTTTTCGCAAATCGACCGGCTGTGGAGTCTCCTGCCCAACTGGTACGTCCTGCACACGGCAGCATGGGCGTACTTGAATGACGAACCCTGGCAACGAGTCGCGCTGGCCGGGGCCGCGACCACTCTTTGGAGCGTAAGAAGAACCAAAAGGACCTAACATCCACGTAGCTCGAGGAGAGAAAGTGCTAACACCATGTGTGTGCGATAGACCCGGTTAACCTTCAACTACTGGCGCAAAGGAGGCTACGAGCGCGGAAGTGAAGACTACAGATGGTAGATACCCCTTCACCCTTCTCTGCGGCCACTGTAACTTACTAACACCGCACGTTTCCAAAGGGAAATTGTTCGCGCATACGTCCCCGCCTGGGTCTTCTTCCTCTTCAACGTGACCTTCATCTCCTTCATCCAGTCCATCCTCCTCTTCGCCTTCTCGGCCGCTCCCGCCTACTCCCTCCTCCTCGCCAGCCGCATCGAGCCCGACCTCGCCGCCTCGGACTACTCCTTCTTCGCCATCCTCGCCGGCCTCGTCCTCAGCGAGTACATCAGCGACGGCCAGCAGTGGGACTACCAGACCGCCAAAGCCGCCTACAAAAAGGGCAATGGCACCGCCGCCGCCGTGCCCCGCGGCTGGGCGCAGGCGGACCTCGAACGCGGCTTCGTCACGCACGGTCTCTGGGCCTTCAGCCGCCACCCCAACTTCTTCGCCGAGCAGATGGTCTGGTTCGTGCTCTACCAGTGGAGCTGCTACGCCACCAAGGTGCTGTATAGCTACACCTTTGCCGGCTCCGCGTTCCTCGTGCTGCTGTTCCAGGGCTCAACGTGGCTCACGGAGCTGATCACGGCGGGCAAGTACCACGAGTACGCCGAGTACCAGAGCCAGGTTGGCATGTTCATGCCCAAGTCGCTGTTTCCCTACAAGAAGCCCCCGCCCAAGGTCATCCGCACGAGCGAGCTTGCCAAGCGCCAGAGCAAGAAGGATAAATAAAGGAGAAATGGACTAGAGACATGCTTGTCCATGTTAAGATACGGCCTATTCAGCCGTAACGGGAAAACTTTTCTGGTCTGGGGACTGGAATAGACGGTGAAATGCATGTGTGTATTCTTCTAGAGAAAGTCTTTTTCTAGTTTCTAGTGAGGTCGTTATGGAGTTCATCTATGCATCCAGAGCATGTAGTCATAGGGAAAATAATCATACCAAACTCATTCCAACCATTGCCACCCGGTTGGCGTTAGTCATCTCTCTCTCTCTCTCTCTCAAGCATCAAGCTTCAAGCTGGCGAGGCTGTCAACATAGTACGCCGGCACAGCCGCGGCGCCCTCCTTCTCCCAATCCTCCTTCTTGTGCACGCCAGTCAAGACGGCGAGCGTGCCGCCCAGCTTCCCCTCGATGCCGAACTTGATGTCCGTGTCGAGACGGTCGCCAATCATGCACGTCCGCTCGCGGTTCAGCTGGAACTTTCCCTCGACGGCGTCCATCATGGCCTGCGACGGCTTCCCCAGCGCAACGGGCTGCTGCTGGCTCATGTTGACGAGCGGGATCGAGATGGAGCCCGCGCCGGGGAAGAAAGTGTGCGACATGGGCAGCGTGCTGTCCGTGTTGGTCGCGAGGAAAACGGCGCCGCGGCGGAGGTACTGGTAGCCCAGCGACAACTTGAGGTAGTTGATGTGGAAGTCCAGCCCCGCGAGCACGACGCCGACCTCAGGATCGAGGGCGGAGCCGTCGGCGATGGCGGCAAAGTCCTCGGGGCCAATGTCGCGGCGCAGAGCAGGGTCGGTGCCGCCGATGAAGTCGACGCCTTCGGCGCGGAGCTCGGCTTCGATGCCGGCCTCGCCAATGACGAAGACTTTGCGCTTGTCGGCGGGGAGGTCGAGGATGCGGGAGACGTAGACGGCGGAGGAGTAGGCTGAGCCGAAGATGTCTTCCACGTCCGAGGGGATGTCGAGGGCGGCGAATTTCTTGTGGTATTCTTGGCGGGACTTTGTCGAGTTGTTTGTTACGAAGACGGTGCGCTTGCCTGTTGGTGGGGGGAAGAGAGCACTCAAGAGGTTAGGGGCCGAGACATGCGATTTGTGAGAGGTTTACAAG